ACACAAGCAAAATATGGTAACTCACCCTCTTTTGTCCAAGCTAGGCTGGATCTTGAGCCCATGTGAGCAGTCACACACAGAGATTTGTTCCTTTTGATAGCCATGGCAACCACACCACACTACAAATCCTGGAGGCAAGTGTGATAGACACTTCTAGTATCAGAGCAATATAGTCACCGTTGTGTGGGTTCCCCCAAGAATGACACATCAGGAGCCACATAAAACGACCTTTACCCCCAGTCTGGCAGAGATAAAAGGCATAGGACAAGAGATAAAAGGCAGAGGTTAGTTAGAATACTGGCTACTTCAGTTGAAAGGGTTACACTAAAGAGCATTAAGAAATATATGAAGAAATAATAATGTACGTATATAAATACAATTAAGAATTCTAATAGCTGATTGGTCAGAGTTAACTCTTTCAGTCTACAACTCATCTAATCCCCATAGCCTACATGGTCCTGTAGGTTATGTGAGTCACTGCCCAAATCAGGATCTAAAGTCTATGTATGCTGCAGATGTTTCTCCACTTTGGTTCTGAGTATTCTTATTCTTCCCATTATTTAATCTTTCCCTTGAGGAATGGAAGCCCCATTCCAGTCTGTTCAGTATCAGAAGCTGGGAACACCAGTGAAGACAGAGAAATAAAAGCATTCTTAGAGGGATCAGAAACAACAAAATGAGGCTGAACAGAAAAATGCAAACCATCTGGGGAAAACATAGCTCACGAAAGCTTATGCTCAAATAAATTGGTCAGTCTCTAAGGTGCCACAAGTACTCCTTTTCTTTTTGCGAATACAGACTAACACAGCTGTTACTCTGAAACCGAGCATGAAGTAGTTTTCCTGGCCCATGAAAATTTTCCAAGGTTTCAAACAATTCTCTTTCCACTTAGGGATATTGACAGTTTTGCAAACAAACGAAAAACCACAAAGAGAGAAATCCAGTGGTTAGGGCACTCACCTGGGATGTGGAGGGCCCAGGTTCAAGTCACTCAAGTCCCTGTGTCTCTCACATGCCAGGTGAGTGACTTGAACCTGGGTCACTCACCAGGCGAGTGTTCTAACCACAGGGATAGCCCAGGACACACACCCACGCTTTGACCAGAACTGATATGTTATCACAAAAAGTTTTGGTTTTGACAAATTGGCATTTTCTGATCACACATTTTGTCAAAAAATTCCCAACCAGCACTGTATATGAATTAAATACGTAAAGCTGAAATCCTGGCCCTATTGAAGTCAATGGGTCTTTTGACATTGACGTCAATGGAGTCGGGATTTCATGGAAATAATTTGTTTATATGCAGGAGAACATAACACACTGCAACATTTGCAAGGAAGGAGAGCATGACACGTGCCAGGTTACCCAGGGTCCTGAGGCATCTCGCTACCACCTGCCCTTAATGTGAGGATGTTTTGTCTGTGCCTGTTGTGGATTAGCTCTCTGACTCCACTGGCCTGTGGCATCACAAGCACTCTCCTCTAGGCCTCCACAGCTCTCATCTTCTCTCTACAGGTAAGCAATAGGCACACACCAACCCCCAAGTCCTCTGAGTTTCTCATCAAAGAATAGAGAGTTTCAAATGATGGTAAATCAGAATATTGGGAAAATATATTAAAAAAAATCATAACATGCTTTCTAAAGCCTAAATTTAACTCGTATGAAATTCCCTCATCTCCTATAGCTTACCCAAGTCCTTTTCCTAGGGTTTCAGCCAGGCTGGCTAAAATCCCCCTTTCATAAGATAAAGCCTGCAGGTGGCTTGTCTTCACAAATTGAAGGATGCCCAAGGATTCATTTGCACTCCAGTTAGACCAGACCAGACCTTTGTACATATATACATAACTCCTCACATATTTTCTGTACATAAATCTCGCAATGGTTATAACGACCAGTGTATCACAGGCTTTCATGGCATTCTTTTGGTGAACCCAGGAGTACAAGAATCCCCTATCTACCCCTGTGCCATTTGCCAATTGTCATCAAGAGGTCTTTGGGTGACAGAGAGGATTTACTTGGCATAGTAAATGGGTAAGAATAATGGGTTGAAAGTAAAGTTAAGGTTGAGGGGAAATTTCTTGACAGTGAGATCTATTACCCTGCAGAAAAGCATACGAAGTAAAGTGAGAGAAGCTTCAAATGTTTGACACGTTTAAACTAGATTGAAACTGTAGGGATGATTTAAAAAGGTGGAGTCTAATTACCTGATTCAGAAATTGTATAAAGCCATTATTGTTAATGTCATGCATAGAATAGCAGGGGATATAATCCCATGATTTACTAATTGAAGTGTTCAAAAAAAATAAGGTGTTGTCTCTTTAAAAAGTGAGCAAGTGAACACCATGAATTGCTCCTTATGTCATTAGGGAATGTATTGTAACCACTCAATTCATATTGCATCAGCACAAAAGGCCCTTTATAAAAGTGATAAAATATGAGTCAAGACAGTTCCTATTTTCTCTGTGAAAGATTATATGGAATTTAAGAGAAAAAGATAATCTTTCTATAGGTTTTTGAATAATGAAATATATCCTTGCTATAGAACTTGATAGGATGGTAAGAAAAAAACCTATCACACTTTTTAGGATTTTGGAATAATTTCAGAAGAAAAATATTGGTTTAATCCCTATTAGATTCAATAGAACTTTTGCAAAAGGTTAACCTTTTTACCAATTTTATAGCTAAAATGTAAGTTAAATTAGAAGAGCTTGTTAAGAGCAGTAGTTTCAGTTCAGACCTTAACTTTAAAATCATTTTTATTTTCAACTGGTCCTGTAGTTTCTGAAAAGAGTTTCAGATGATGGTACCAGGAAAGTGCATGGAGAGGCCTTGAAGTCAGAGGTGTACCTATGTTTCTAATTTTTCAATGCAGCACACCAGTGTTTTCATAGATATGCAGTGGTCTAATTCTTATTACATTGTATTTATTAAATGTGTACTCACAGGGTGCTGTAACTGCATATAATTATGAACCCTTTTTGCCACCAATAAAACAAGAGTGTTGAAAGAGAAAGTTTAAAAAAATTAATATAGAATTTTGTTTATTTGCCAAAGATGGCTCAAAAGAAATTTACAATAACAAACTGAGATTTGACTGTGCCCTTCTGATCAGAAATGTCTGTAGCACTGTAGTGTAGACATTTCTTGTAGCAACAGAAGGGTTTTTTTTCCCCATCACTGTAGTAAATCCACCTCCTTGAGAAGAAATAGCTAGGTTGACAGAATAATTTTTCTTTTGACCTAGCAGTGTGTACACAACGTGGGTTAAGTTGATCTATGTCACACAGAGTGTGAAATTTTTCACAACCCTGAGTGAGATAGCTAGGTTGACCCAAGTTTTAGTGTAAACCAGGCCCCACAGTGGCTAAAGGCCACTACAATTAGTAGAGTAGGGAAAGGTAATACTTCTCGGCACACAGGTCAGTAACAAGTTGCATATGCAAGGGGACAGTTGGCTCCTTACTAAAGCTCAGTGGGGGTTTTTGATTGGCTAGCTCCCAGTACCAAAAGAAAGGAGAAGAGTTGATGGGAAATCAGGACACTGAAACTGACAGACCCCAGGAACAATGGGGAGAGGTCAATGCTCCAGGTCAGCCTGATTGACAGGGCAGGCAGGCTAATCAGGGAGTCAGAAGGAGTCCCATTCTCCATGTGAGCTGGAATTGCCTGAGACAGAGTGGGGCTGAGCTAAGGAGAGAGCAGGAGCCTGAGCTGAGCTGGAGAGCAAAGTCACAGCAACAAAAGCCAGAGCAGCAGCCCAGGGAGCAGGTCAGTGCTGGGAGGAGAGCTGCAGCAACCAAAGCCAGAGGGGCAAGAAAAGCAGCCCAGGGAGCTGGAGGCAGAGCAGCAGTGCTAAGGCAGAATGGAGCTGGAGCTGAAGCCGTCCGAAGCCAGGTGTGGTGAGCAGCTAGGGAGAGTGAGGGGGACTCTGAGCAGTGGACCCAGCATAGGGAGACGCTCCCAGCCAAGAGGCCTTGCAGGCCAGACTTGGAAGGGAACCGTAACCCGATGGGGCTGGGGCAACGCTGGGAAGAAGAGTCCTGCCACCTAGAGCCTGAAGGCATGTGGCCACCGTCAGAGCGAGTGTCCGACCCACAGCATCCCTGCAGCACAGCCAGAGCCTGAAGAGGAGGCCTGGGACTTGTGAGGAACAGACTGAACTTCCCTTACATTCCAGAGACACTGGTTGTGATATCCCCATGCCACAGAGCAGGGTTATGTGTTTTCCTTTAACTTTTCCCATGTTGTCCTTATCTTTTTTTAATTGAGTGTTAATAAATTGTGTTTGCTTTGAACTGTATGGAATGATCAGTGGGTCAGGGAAGTGTCCAGAACGGAGAGAGCACTCCAGAGTGGGGACACCCTAGCCCCTGCCCAAGGTGACCACAACAAGGTTGGTGGTCGAGCCCTCAGGAATCCTGGGTCCAGTCTTGTTGGGGTTACGAGGACTCTGCCACACAGGAGAGTGGAATGGGAGCCCTCGAGGTCAGGCAGGCCTCTGGGTAAAGGAAATGGTAGCGAGGACTCAGATCCTTTCGCTAGCCCACTTCACCGGGGTAGTGTATAAGCCAGGAAAGTTCCCCACAATAGCAGGACCATAGCTGACGCATAGCAAGTGAGGAATGAATAAGTGATCCAGATATTAGTACTAGAACATGAGGTCATGCATGTATGCATATAAATCAATGCACATTAGTGTGCTAGAAATTGAGCATTTTGACCGTCCCCATTTCCCATCCAATCTGAAATGAGGCCAGCTACACTTAAGTGTCCAATGCAAAGTCAAACTAGTCGTTTACCATTTTTTTTTTTTAGCCAATCAGGAGTCAAGGCCAGCGGGGGAGAGGGGGAGGCTTTAAACTCTGTAATGTGCAAAAGGATGGTGCTACATAACTGCTTAGTAACAGCGTTCCCCCACATTTCAATGACAGACAGGGCGCCACTAGGACCCAGAGGACAGTAACTGCTCGAATCAATCGATACCTGCAGCTGCTGTCGCTGGCTGGTGGCACCCAGGTTCTGTGCTGCTTTCCAGCAGCTCCCGAGCTCGCCGGGCAGCCAGCGCACCAGCCAGCGTTACAGGGGCAAAAGGGGAGGAAGGTGATGACAACCAATCAGGGTGGCCCGTTCCCTCGAGACGTCATAATCACAAACAATCCCCAGAACCTGCAGCAGCAATAACAATAACAGACTGTGTCAGCTGCTGGTCAGTCGGCGGTGCGTACGTGGCCACAGTCCGCAGCAGCTGCTCCCGCCAGCGGCGTCGGGGGAGAGCAGGCAGCGAGGGCGGGCTGAAAATAGAAACGCTCCTGCCTAGAAGAAACTAGAGGCAATGTCGCAGGGCGAGGGACCCAGCCTACAAGAGGAGAATTTGCACGGTAAGAGCCAGCCCTTCCCCCCCTTTCCCAGCAATGCCTGGGCCCCTTCATTTGCAGGCCTTGCTAGGGAAAGCGCCCCCATCAGCCTGCTGTCGCCTAAGGACTTGCTGTCCAGAACGGGGGCTGTTGGAGACTCGGGTTCCCTTTGTTTATAGCATGTGACGTCTTCCCAAGTCTAGGTCTGCTGTTACGCTGTTAACAATCATGCAGTAAACATGAAACTTGACAAGCATGGGGGGAAATGTCAGCACTTGCAAATGGACGGTGATCAGTACTGCATGCGCAGGGAATATACAGGGCTGTCCTTAACTCCACAAATGAGTGTGTGATTGTGTGCGGGCTTATTGTATCTTGCCTAGATACAGGGTTAATGTGAGCCATTTAAAAACCACACAGTCAGTGAGGGATCTCGTTACACCACCCCTCCCCGCACCGTGAGGTTGCCATTAGCAGCAATCCAGTTATGGTAACATGGCAGGTACAGTTATAGCTGCATGGATGGCTGGGTGTTTAAGAAAGAAAAACACCTTCTTACAAGCTCCCTGATATAATTCATGTTCCTTAGACTGAGAATCCATGGGCCAGGTATGGTGGATTTGAGTCTGTTTGGAAAACATGCACAATCAACTGTATAAAAACGGTTTCTACAAAACCAACTTCTATAAATTCGACCTAATTTCCTAGTGTAGCCATACCCTAAGACACTGATTTTCTACTGGAAGTAAATAATGATGATCTATCATTTAACATCTTTTTAAAGTTCAGATGTATCTATTCTAGTTTGACATCTCCACCCCTTGCAGCAAACTATAATACTTTGACTGAATATACATTTGTTTCAAAATACTTAGGCACCATGGAAATGGAACAAAGTGAGTTAGGATTATAATAGATATGCATATTTTACTAAGCGTAAAAAAGGAAGTGAAATCAGGGCATGTATTTGCCATACTTAAAAAAATAAAGAAATCAGTTTGCAGAAAAGGAGAAATGAATTTCCCTTATTCACCTCAAATTGGAGAAAGTGGGTATTTCCTATAGATAGATAGATATAGGAGTTTTGGAAATAAAGAAAAAAATCTAGTTTACATTCCCACTGTTCTCTAGGATTTCCCTTTGTGCCAATGTGACAGACAGAGCAATTTGGTTTACTTGATTACCCAGTGTATATATACCAGTTTAGGAGTTTCGCACGTAGCAAAACCACAAGAGGGTGTTTCATAACTCTCAGGGCCTTGGAAGATTTAAAAAAAAAAAAAAGACTCAGATGGTCTTATTTCTCGGTCACTGATACAGGGAGATAGGACACACATTGCATAAAGGGACTTTGTCTGGTATGTCTCATATCCTCTGTATGTTTGGAAAAGTTAATGATGTTAAACACTATATACAAACATTTATATGGGTGCCACATCTGGAATGGGACACTAAGACAAGTTTGCCTGATAAACCCATGCTTACACCTGGGATAGAAATACCAGGTTTTCTTGGGAAATAATGTTCCATTTTATGTATCTTGAGTTGTAATTTTATAGCAGTTCTGGCAGGAGATTCTCAGAGAAGTCAGAGAGAGAGAGAGAGCTGTTTCTCCACCCGGGAAGTCAAGGCTGGCTCAATGTCTAGGTGACAATAGAGATGAAAGAAATTCTGACTAACATGAAAAATGGAACACGTTAAAAAAGCACTCAAATCTCAATCACACAGCCCCACCGCCACGAATAGATTCTCAAGAAATATGTGCTCCCTGGTAAGGTACAGAGTGTGTTATTTGCAAACCAAAATCAGAGTTAAGAGATTGTGCATTCAAATGTGCTCTAGTGTTATTGTACATCTTCCTTGTATAGGATGATATGTTGGAAATGCAAAGGAGTTTGTTGGGGAGGTGAAGAGGAAGACTGTGGCTGAGCATTAAAGCATGTGAAAGACAGTTGTTTTAAAGGGGGTTTTCACTGATATATTTGTGATATACAGAGAGAGACTTCTACTCTGTACAAATTGAGTTTTTCCTGCTCTCTGAACAGTTTGTCATTTCAGACATCAGAATTTTGTGCAAATGTTCTGTGGCAGTGACTAATTTTGAAAGTACGGTATTGTGGTAGAGATATTCACAAAGCCAATGATATCCCATCAGTTACTCCATCCATGCCTTTTCTCATGCTGGTCCCTATTTTTGCATAATCTTGTCTGGTCCACTGCACAAGTTAACCTTATTTTTTCCTTCAGATCCCTCCCCATGACTCCCCAAGCCTGCCTTCCAGCCTCCGCCCTCTTATCTGTTTATGTTCCTGTTCTTTATAAAAACATGAGCCTTCAGTATCTAATCACTATTGCAACAGCTGATTTATAGTAATCTAGCCATCGCCCCCATCACCAGAATATCCAATATAAAAAAAGAACACAATGTATATGTAACATGTATTTAGCTCATGATCTTTTAAAGTCATAACTCTTGTCCTCTCCATATTCTATCATATACTGCTGTGTTATGTCTGGATTGTGTGTTAAATCAGGGACTGTCTTTAGTTTGCTGTGTGAAGCAGTTTTGAACGTCTGTGGAACTGTATAAATAGGAAATGATCATTAAAAATGGGTTTGAAGCTGGGATTTTGACAATTTTAACACTATTACCAGCACTAGCAGTTATCAGAGGTTCTTTCTGTACAGCACATACAAATTAGGTCCAGATCTCTTCCATCATATGAGAACATAGTTTGATCTTGTTCAAAGAGTAAAAGATGGAACAGTGATTTAACTCAGTTGCACCTGGGGCTCCTGACACTTGCGTCTGTATTGTGGATGGGCCCTTAAAGGCTAAAGAAATAAAACAGCTCTTAGGTGTTAGAATAGCAAACAGAGTATTACTTGTGATTTCCATTTGTTTAACATGGCCTAATATAACCATTTATTCTAATCAGATATTATTGTGCATTCTAATTATTGCAGGACTACAGAAATATTTTAAAGTCTAAAATCAGTCGTGAGAGCACTTAATTATCACTGTTTATCTTGTCTTTAATTTGAATAAGTATTCTGACATTGCTAGAACTTGGAGAATGAGTAGCCATTTGCAATCAGAGATAAAATGCTGAGTATTTACTGTGATTAAAAGAAATAAGGTTACTTGTGCAGACATTAACCTAGCATTAGGATAACATTTTTCAAATTCAAAGCACTTAAACGTTATTTAAATAATCAAATATAATTATTCTAAGCAAAGATCCTGTCCAGATTCACAATAGTAAAGCATGTTACATTATTTTGGTACAAAGCTGACAGCATGTAAGGTAGTAATCAGTACACTGCATGTATGCACAAATCCTACCTTTATATTTCTGGTGTTGTTTGGATAAGAGTTTTTTGATTCATATGTTTCTGGCATGCTAGCAAAAAATCAAATATTTGGCTTATAATTATTTAAAAGTTGACTTACGGTACTTTCACCAATCAGATTGCAGTATGCAAATATATAGTTTGTACTGTATGACAGTTGGCTGAGTTATGTGATATCACCAGTGCACCATCCAGTGACAAGCTAATTATTTTCCTGTAACTGTGAGTACAGGCATAGTTTCAATTTAATTTCTTTCATATCCTACACCTAGTAAATGGAAGAGCAAAAGGCGAGCGAGGGCTGGAAAGAGGCATTTGGAGCAAGGCAGGACAGGATGGGAGCCAGATGGTAGGCTCAAAACTGCTGAAGGTGCAAAAGCCAGGGCCACAGTCAGGCCACATCTACTTAAACATCCACACTGATGACTCTTCTGAGCCTGTTCAGGATTTCCACCACAACATAACAGAAGGACGAAGAAAGGTTTTTATATAGACAATCAGACAGATGAAAAGGTAGGAAGGCAACAGATGGCAGTTAAGTAAAGTGTTTTCCCCAACTTCGTTATCACCAGATATTTGCATGCAAAGGATTATATGGAGTTCCAAATTTTAGAGGAAGGTTATTAAATTGTCCATTTAGTCAACCACAACACAAAATGACAGGTTTCAGAGTAACAGCCGTGTTAGTCCGTATTCGCAAAAAGAAAAGGAGTACTTGTGGCACCTTAGAGACTAACCAGTTTATTTGAGCATAAGCTTTCGTGAGCTACAGCTCACTTCATCGGATGCATACTGTGGAAAGTGTAGAAGATCTTTTTATACACACACAAAGCATGAAAAAATACCTCCTCCCACCCCACTCTCCTGCTGGTAATAGCTTATCTAAAGTGACCACTCTCCTTACAATGTGTATGATAATCAAGGTGGGCCATTTCCAGCACAAATCCAGGGTTTAACAAGAACGTCTGGGGTTGGTGGTGGTAGGAAAAAACAAGGGGAAATAGGTTACCTTGCATAATGACTTAGGCTTGAATAGAGACTGGGAGTGGCTAAGTTAATTGTTTCCAATTTGCAAATGAATTCCAATTCAACAGTCTCTCGCTGGAGTCTGGATTTGAAGTTATTTTGTTGTAATATCGCAACTTTCTTTTCTGATTACTGTCTGTAATCGCGTGACCAGAGAGATTGAAGTGTTCTCTGACTGGTTTATGAATGTTATAATTCTTGACATCTGATTTGTGTCCATTTATTCTTTTACGTAGAGACTGTCCAGTTTGACCAATGTACATGGCAGAGGGGCATTGCTGGCACATGATGGCATATATCACATTGGTGGATGTGCAGGTGAACGAGCCTCTGATAGTGTGGCTGTTGTTATTAGGCCCTGTGATGGTGTCCCCTGAATAGATATGTGGGCACAGTTGGCAACGGGCTTTCTTGCAAGGATAGGTTCCTGGGTTAGTGGTTCTGTTGTGTGGTATGTGGTTGCTGGTGAGTATTTGCTTCAGGTTGGGGGGGCTGTCTGTAGGCAAGGACTGGCCTGTCTCCCAAGATTTGTGAGAGTGTTGGGTCATCCTTCAGGATAGGTTGTAGATCCTTAATAATGCGTTGGAGGGGTTTTAGTTGGGGGCTGAAGGTGATGGCTAGTGGCGTTCTGTTGTTTTCTTTGTTAGGCCTGTCCTGTAGTAGGAGACGTCTGGGAACTCTTCTGGCTCTATCAATCTGTTTCTTCACTTCCGCAGGTGGGTATTGTAGTTGTAAGAATGCTTGACAGAAATCTTGTAGGTGTTTGTCTCTGTCTGAGGGGTTGGAGCAAATGCGGTTGTATCGCAGAGCTTGGCTGTAGACAATGGATCGTGTGGTATGGTCAGGGTAAAAGCTGGAGGCATGTAGGTAGGAATAGCGGTCAGTAGGTTTCCGGTATAAGGTGGTGTTTATGTGACCATCGTTTATTAGCACTGTAGTGTCCAGGAAGTGGATCTCTTGTGTGGACTGGACCAGGCTGAGGTTGATGGTGGGATGGAAATTGTTGAAATCATGGTGGAATTCCTCAAGGGCTTCTTTTCCATGGGTCCAGATGATGAAGATGTCATCAATATAGCGCAAGTAGAGTAGGGGCGTTAGGGGATGAGAGCTGAGGAAGCGTTGTTCTAAGTCAGCCATAAAAATGTTGGCATGCTATGGGGCCATGCGGGTACCCATAGCAGTGCCGCTGATCTGAAGGTATACGTTGTCCCCAAATGTAAAATAGTTATGGGTAAGGACAAAGTCACAAAGTTCAGCCACCAGGTTAGCCGTGACGTTATCGGGGATAGTGTTTTTGACGGCTTGTAGTCCATCTTTGTGTGGAATGTTGGTGTAGAGGGCTTCTACATCCATAGTGGCCAGGATGGTGTTATCAGGAAGATCACCGATGGATTATAGTTTCCTCAGGAAGTCAGTGGTGTCTCGAAAGTAGCTGGGAGTGCTGATAGCGTAGGGCCTGAGGAGAGAGTCTACATAGCCAGACAATCCTGCTGTCAGGGTGCCAATGCCTGAGATGATATAGCGCCCAGGATTTCCAGGTTTATGGATCTTGGGTAGTAGACAGAATATCCCAGGTTGGGGTTCCAAGGGTGTGTCTGTGCGGATTTGATCTTGTGCTTTTTCAGGGAGTTTCTTGAGCAAATCACTTTAGATAAGCTATTACCAGCAGGAGAGTGGGGTGGGAGGAGGTATTTTTTCATTCTTTGTGTGTTTATAAAAAGATCTTCTACACTTTCCGCAGTATGCATCCGACGAAGTGAGCTGTAGCTCACGAAAGCTTATGCTCAAATAAATTGATTAGTCTCCAAGGTGCCACAAGAACTCCTTTTCTTTTCACAACACAAAATGGCTTGATTGGATTCCTGTTATCTCTTGAACATTCTGTCCACTCAGAACACAGCCAGCAAGATCCTCTCTGTCCTGTCGCTCAGATTACATTTCACACTTCACAAATCTCTGTATTGGCTCCATTCCTTCTGCGTTCTATTAAAGCCACTGCTTTATTTATTTTGATTTCATTTCTTTGTGTATGTCATGCTCCCTACGCTCTGCTCAAGCCTCTCACCTAACTGTTCCTTTTCCTGGTCCTGATTTATTGGCTTTTTTAAAATTTCTTGTAAGAATGGTCCCTCCAGTTAATACATGCCAGTACCCTCCCCTTTCCACTTGCTCTCATTAAAAAAGTCCCACCTATTATCTTCACCAAAATGCAAATACTGTCATCTTTTACCTAATTGTACTGTGCCTGGAATGCCTGGAATGCAGCCACAGCCCCTGAACTGGTGAAAGTCGCCTCTTTCTCTGGCAGCGGCACATCCCAAATTTCGCCCGCCCCCTCTTCTCACCCCATTGCCCCCTCCCACCTACCCCCTATTCCCCCGAAGGCCACCACCTCACCTTACGTGTGTGTCTTCTGCAAGGTTCAGACACCAAATTAGGTGGGTGGCCCTTCATTTTCTCATGTGCAGCTGCCCAGGCGCGCACCTTAAAGGGAACTATCCACGGACCACCTGAATGGAGCTCATGGACTACAGTTGGAGAACCTCTGCCTTAGATTATAAACTGTTCAGGGTACGGACACTATATTGTGGTATTTACTATTGTAAAGCTTTGTGTACATCAACATTTTATATAAATAAGCTCCATTGATTTGTGTGTATATATGTAATTATTTAAATGTTATCCACTTATTTGATTTTATACATGAAGAACCAACTCCAGGTCCTTTGAAATATGGGTGGTGCTTTTAACATGGAAGTTAGTTGTTACTGAATACATTTTGATAAGACAAACATGTCACTGTCAACTGATCTTACATTTATTGTAGGTAGCAAATAGCTGATCTAGCAATTGCCAGACATCCTATATTGCCCAACAGTGATACTTTAAAATGTGCTTAATGAAGAAGGTAAACAACAAGCACTGTTTTTATGGAGCAATGATCCTACTACATTGAATAAATTAACAGTGAAAACATTGGCAGAGGAAGTCAGTCCTTGAGAGTAGAATCCGTATCTGTCAACTGCATTGAGCTGTGAAGATGCATACAGTGGATTATCCCACCAAATTAAAATGAAAGCTTCTGTAACGGAGTATGCATACAGACACTTTGTACTTTCATATTTTTCCTGTGAACCAGAACTGCATGACGTATTAGCTTTCTAAGAAAAGCATCTAAGTATTATGGTAGCCATTCTTCCCCAGTTCATAAGCTGGAATACTATGGCGTTGAGCCAGTATTTTCTGATACATTTTACATCACCCTGAAAAGTCCTTGGTGGGAGGTCTGACATTCTAGCTCCTTTTACACAGAGCCACTTGTCCACAAGTGTGCAGTTGCTATAAAACAAACCATATTACACAAATGTCTGAGGGGGGGCCTGATCTAAAGCCCATTAAACTCAATTCAGAGACTTCTGTTGACTTTAATGGGCTTTAGATTGGGTCCTTAACGGACAAGAAAGTGGCATAAAAAGAACAAACAGTATGAACAGTACCAATATATTTACTCTGGGGAAAAATGTCTTCAGACAACTATTTTGGAAGTAATTGAAAGGGTTACAACTTTACCTCTTTGAAAGGCATGTTAGAATAGAGTTTTACTGTTAACCAGCAATAACCCATGTGTACCAGGTGTAGTCACATTGTAGAAAGCAGGAGTGAGGTTATCAGACCTAACCTGGGTGTTAGTCTGTTTTGCAACTTTCAATATTTGTCTTTGTGACTTTTTCCTGTTTTGTTTTTAATTATGCCAAGCAGGGTCCTGGGTGGAACTGCACTTCAGCAGTAATGGCAATGGTAACCCCGTCCAGCCAACAAGCCACGAGCAAGTACCAGACTCTATTTCTATTTACAATGGTGACATGGAGAAAATACTCCTAGATGCGCAGCATGAATCCGGAAGAAGCAGTTCAAGAGAAAGCTCCCGCTGCGATAGGTAGCTATAAATACATTATTACAAACACAGAAATGCTCATTATAGTGCAATTTTCCTGGTGTGTGGGTGTGTGTGCACGAGAGATGTGTTTATATAAACACATTTATATCTGTATAAAAATTTACAACAAATTGTTTTTTATAGTAAGTAAAAATAGGAACACATTCTGAAGTAGCCCATCCTGAAACCATAAAGAAACTGTAAGGGAAAGAGCCATGGAAAATTTAATCACACAATGTAAAGGGGTCTTCCCAAAGTTTTTGACATGCTGGGACTTTGTAGGGAAAGTGTATCAGCATCAGCTGCACTTTGCACAGTTACACTGCTAAATCACTGGCAACATTCCTGCTATAATAAAAGAAAATCTGATGCTTTCACAACCTGGGTTTGCACATGGTGGCTGCCATCCTAAGAGACTGTACGATCAGTCTGTGTGGAAACAATGCCAGTGCCATTCTCAGGGTGTAAGGTGTTACTTTATTAGCTTTATGGAAAAGTAATGGTGGAAAAGTAATGGTAAAAAAGGAATGATAAAAACAATGTGTGCTTGTGACCTTAGGTAATTGCTAAAATGATATTTTAGCTTAAATCTAATTTACGGACCATGGAGCTTTCTAATAGCAGCATTTCAAAGCAAATTTCCATATGGGGCAGCTCTCGTAAATTGACAGATTTCATTGGGGCTGTGACAATTTAAACCAGTGGAGGATCCTCACTATAAAGTTTAATTTGATTCAAGGAACTAGAAGACTTATGGAATGGGCAAGGGGATGTAGGAGCTCCCATTTCTAAGTGGCTGATCTGAATACAGGCGAAAAGCCATTGTCATCTATCCGCTGTTCTTCAGTGATATTTATGAACTAAGTCGTGGGGATAAGTCTAGTAACCCTGTAGACAGATGTCCACATCTGCAAAAAGTTATACCATGCATTAAACTGACTTCCTTCTTGGCAGATGTAGTCAAATGAGCATGGAGGATGTGTTATGCTGCAACCCTAGAGGTAGTTCCATTAGGTCAGTATTTAAGCACATCAGTGGAGAAGCCTGTGCCCTTGCTGCCCATGCTGTAACTGTCCAGTAGAAGAAACTTCAGCTGTGCCAACAAAGTTTGTTTGCTAACTTTTAGTTCCACATATAGAGAATATCAGCATGAAGAATTTAATGAGACTTTTCCCTCCTTTTGCTTCTGTTTACAAAGCCCTCCTCGTTCCCAGACACCTCAGGACAATAACAGAGCTTCTGAAGTGGAGACTCACAGCAGTGGAGAAAAGAATAGCTCTCAGGTAAAAGCTAAGTCACCCCTCCTTTGAGAACCTGTTTGACTATCACAGTTCCAAGACCAGTCTAAGGAAACTTACATAGAAAAGATGAGATTGATCCTACAAAGATTAAACCACTGAGTAACTTTAATCCTGAAAGTAAAAGGGATTTCCCTCTGGAGTCAAGATACTCAGTTGTTTAAGGGTATGCCTACGCATAAAATACCAACAGCTGGCCAGTATCGACTAACTCGGGCTCCTGGGTTCCAGAGCCCGAACTCCAGCCTGAGCCCAACCATCGGAGCTGCAATTTTATAGCTCTGCAATCTGAGCCAGGTGACCCGGGCCAGCTGCAGGTGTTTTATTGCAGTGTAGACACATCCTAAGTCTTTGTAGGCTCAGGCCCCATTGTATGGACAGTTCTAAGCCACTGAGTTGCATAGTCACTCTTTTTGAAAACATATGAGCTGGGACTTTCAAAGGGCCCCAAGGGAGTCAGGTGCTCATTTGTATTTCAATGGCAGTTTAGTGCCTGACTCTCTTAGGCCTCTTTAAAAATCCCATACATATAGGTCAAAATGTTCATAGTCTGAATTTACAGATTAGGAAGGATGGTTCAGTAAATACTCTACAGGATGGGGACTCAGGAGACCTGGGTTTGATTCCCAGCACAGCCACCTGCACCATGTGTGATCTTGCCCAAGGTCATACAATCTACTCATGGTCTCAACTGCCCATCTGTAAAACAGGTAATACTGCCCTATCTCACAGGGGTCTTAGGAGAATAAAACCCATTAAAGATTGTGAGGTACTCAGATATTACAATAATAGGGTCTGTAGATATACAAATATTATTGATATTCACTAATGTCATATAGATCTGCAAGGCCGAAATTTCCTCCTCCTGACATGACTGTAACCCCTTTGTATTGCTCAGGCTTACACCAGAAGGTGTTTGTTGGGAATCATTAAAAAAGGGATAGATAAGACGACAGAAAATATCGTATTGCCTCTATATAAATCCATGGTATGCCTATATCTTGAATACTACGTGTAGATGTGGTTGCCCCATCTCAAAAAAGATATATTGGAATTGGAAAAGGTTCAGAAAAGGGTAACAAAAATGATTAGGGATATGGAACAGCTTCCATATGAGGAGAGAATTATAAGACTGGGACATTTCAGCTTGGAAAAGAGACAACCATGGGGGGATATGATAGAGATCTATAAAATCATGACTGGTGCTGAGAAAGTAAATAAGGAAGTGTTATTTACTCCTTCTCATAATGCAAGAACTAGGGATCATCAAATGAAAATAAATAGGCAGCAGGTTTAAAACAAGCAAAAGGAAGTATTTCTTCACACAACGCACAGTCACCCTGTGGAACTCCTTCCCAGAAGATGTTGTGAAGGCACAAACTATAACAGGGTTTAAAAAAGCTAGATAAATTCATGGAGGATAGGTCCATCAATGGCTATTAGGCAGGATGGGCAGAGGTAGTATCCCTAGCCTCTGTTTTCCAGAAGCTGTGAATGGATGACAGGGATGGATGACTTGATGATTAGCTGTTCTCTTCATTCCCTCTGGGGCACCTGGCATTGGCCACTGTCGGAAGCCAGGATACCGGGCTAGATGGACCTTTTGGTCTGACCCAGTACAGCCATTCTTATGTTATGTTTGTTGGTTTTATTTTTAAATAATAATGTGCTGCAAGAGCACATCATGAATTTAAAAGGAGTAACTTCAGGCATAACAAAACCTTCCTTTTGTCTGTTAGAAATTATAGCCTTATAGGTAAATTTTAAAAAGCAATGAACTGGGATTTAGCCATATGATCCCTATTCACTTTAATAACTGGGATTGAGCAAGTATATTTCAACATGTTACTTTGATAATTTACCCTTAATATTTTGTGTGTTAAATATATTAAAACATTTTTATGCATTACTTTTTAAATACTTGTAAAGACTGCTGGCAACCAATGCAGCTGGTAAATCAGGATTAAAAAAGGATATTTACTGGAAGCAAAGAGTCACATTTTACATACTGTGTATTGTCACATTGCTGAAACAAGGCTAGAATCACAGGTCCACACAACCCCCTTATTAGAAACTTGCTATTAATCTTTAAATTTTTCATCTAAAAACTCTTTTGTAGATAAAGTTTTATAAGTAATTCAGTTAAATGTACAAAAGAACCTCAGAAAAGGATGAGCTGCCTGTCCAGAGCATGCTTTAACCCAAATAATCACGTGTCTGGATGCAGCGAGAGCTTCATCCTGAGTAAGAAAAGGAGGACTTGTGGCACCTTATAGACCAACAAATTTATTTGAGCATAAGCTTTCGTGAGCTAAATATCACTGAGAAGGAAATATTTTCATTCATTCTCACACTCTTGCTCCCACTCCCTCCCTATATATATACACACACACACACTTTTGCACCTAGAGAGAGAGAGAATCATGAGTGAACTGTTGATATATATTATACACAAAAGAAAACCTTCATTAAAAAGAAAATTATAAGATTGCAAACTCGAACACTCAAAAGTTATTATATGCCAGAATTAATGTTCTGTATGACCTTAATTTGTTTCCCTGTGTACACACACATTATCATAGTCTTAACTTACATGATCACATACTCTTTTTTCACCACCAGGACCCCTGCCTCATTCAGTGCACACTTAATGAGCAGCCATTCAATATTTTGTTTTCTCCTCATTGTTCAATGTGTAGCCCCAGGCCTTATTTACTGTACATTATTCAAATGCTTCTCTGAAGACAGAATTAATTTCCTCATGGGCTTTTCCATAGTGCTCACCACTGTAGTATCTGAACTCTTCACAAACATTAATGAATTTATTTTCACAACACCCCTTTGAGGTGAGGGTGTGGTATCCCCATTTCACAGATGGGAAATTGAGGCACAAAGAGAGTAAGGTCAAAAGTATCCACAAATTTTGGTGTTCAGTTTGAGATGCCTAGTACCTTATTTTTTCAAGAATTTAGCATTACATAATTCGTTACATGTTCAAAGCACAGCTCCCATTGACTTCAGTTGCAGCTGTGAACGCTCACAACTTCTGCAAATCAGATGCAAGGGTCTCAAGTCAGGCACTGAGAAAACAAGGAACAGGGATATAGGACTGGCAGGGACCTCCTGGGTCATCAAGTCCAGCCACCCGCTATCACAGTCAACCCTGTATTGTATAATCGTGCTCAGAAACTTAAACTGCATCTTAACACTATTTCAAACAATTAGTGACCATGTGGGAGAAGTTTGGTTTAAGGTGATTTGCCCAATAACATATAGGCATTCTGAAGCAGATGCAGCAATAGAATCCAGTTCCCCAGGACACCATTCAACTACCCTAATCACGAAACCATCCTTTCTTTTTCCTGCAGTCCCCTGCCTCATTTACTACACACCTTCCAACTTCTGCAACATATGAGGCAGGGTCCTACAGACAATAGCCACCTTTTCTATTCAACCCTGATTAATCTTCAAAGAAAGTACACCCTATGCACTGAATGAAGTGTGGATCCTATGGAAAAATTAGTTTGGGATCATGTAATTAAAAGACTATCATAATACATGTGCACAAGGGGACGAAATTAAGATTTCAGAGGCAATTTCTAAGTTTAAGTTTCTGAGGAAAGCTTTTCCTAGCTTTTGAGTGCTTGACTTTGTAACCTTAATAATGTGGTGGTGTTTTTTTATATAGTGGTGTGTGTGTGTGTGGTTTCTTAGATTTTTAAAAAGTGAACTGAAAACACAAGCCTTTCATTATGTGGCATCATATTGAAACCCACATGGGTCATCAGCAGGCTTGGAACCTTTAGATTCAGCACGCAGACTTCTCCCAATTGAGCTAAGGGAGTAACTGATAGCAGGTTGTCATCCTCTATATGGAGTATCACCAGAGGAGGAGGAGGAGAGATTTTGCCTGGGGTTTCAGTTATTTGCTGACAGCCTTGGAGTGGTGAGACTAAGAATCTTGGGTTCCATTCCAGGCTCTGGAGGGGAGTGTGCTCTGGTGCTCATGGACCCTTCTACCGCCCAAGTCTGACACCTTCCAAACCATCCCCCTCCAGCCAGTCCCTCTCTGTTGAAGTCCTGTCTCTTCCCCATCCCTGGCTCCCCATCTCAGTCCCAGTCTCTGTTCCTCAGTGCCTATTTTCACAGGGATGGCAAAGCCACATCCCTGACACAAAGGCCACCCTTTGCCAAATTTCACATCCTGTGCCAAAGCATGGGGACAGAAGAGCTTTTCACATGGTTTGTCATGGGTTAAACACATTTTTTCCCTAGCCCTGTTGGAAGTGATTGAACCATTTTGGCTGAAATTTAAAAAAAAATAAAATAAAAAAATGCATAGAGGGAAGGCATTGAATACTGGGTTGCAGGAACATATGGACGCCGCAAGTGAACTTGAGAATTAGCATGGGGGACAGATGAGAGGGCTGCATTGTAGCAGTACAACCCAAAATGGCCTTACGGTGGGCAAAGCCAGAGAGAGTCCAAGTTCTGTAAGTGAATCCAGTTTCTATAAGGATGGTGGTGGTAGTGATTTGTGTAGTCATAACCATCTAGTGCACTGTTTGATGAAGACTCTTTGTTTTAGTCTGAAGAAGATTTTCTTGAAAGAAGAAAAGAAATAGAAAGGCTCTTGCAGAAAAATTCAGACTGGATATGGGATTGGTCCAGTAGGCCTGAGAACATCCCACCAAAGTGAGTGTCCTCAGCATCCTGCAGTCCTTCTGCTGGGGCTTTTATTTTTATGGGTGGTAAATGTACATTTGCTAACATGATAATTTGTTTTCCTCTCCTAAACTAGGGAATTTCTCTTTAAACACCCTAAGCGTACTGCCTCTCTCAGCATGAGAAACACAAGCATGATGAAGAAAGGGGGCATATTCTCAGCAGAATTTTTAAAGGTTTTCCTTCCATCTCTGCTTCTCTCTCATTTGCTTGCCATAGGGCTAGGGTAAGTTTTTTTTTTTTTTTTTTTTTTTTAAATAAAGTCTTTCTACTGTAGCTTTCTCCTATCTGTTATCTGAATAGTGTCATTCCAACCTGTAGTTCTTCATATGCCTACAATTTAAATGGTACAACTATTTTGACACACTGACCAGTTATTCACTAACTGGTATCCACTACTTTGAAGCTATTGTATCACAAAAGCAAAGCAAAGCATGGCCAGACCTGACCAGTCATCTTATGTTTTGCAAGTGTCCTACCTGTTTGTGGCAATGCTTGTGGCATTGCTGTATGGGTCAGTTTTCCTCAATGCTTTTCTCAGTAGTTGAGGATTTACCTAGAGAACTGTCAAAAGCTGAAGTTAGGAATTATACAGACATAGTATTCAGTTCTGTTGTGATGGGTGGATTTGAAAGGGAAAAAAGCCAGTGGGTTTTATTCCGCATGTTTCAGAAACATGCGAGCGTCTATAAAAACAACGAGAGGGGTCTTTTTCAAATTAGCATTGTGCCAGATCATACGGACCTGTAGGAAAGGGACTGGGGGAAGAGATTAATCCCTTAACTCCATCCACTCAGGGCTGGGGTTTCCCTACCTGTAGAGGGTGCTTCAGAGCCTATCCCTAAACCCAGAAGATACCCAGGTATCCCCACAGATGTTAGGGAATCTGTGGGAGGCCAGGCCCATCCACATCAAGGCCCCATGGAGGTTTACTAGGGACTTCCCACAACCCTAGAGGGAGTGAGCTTTGTGGAAAGGACATAGAATTCTCAATTGTCATGTCTTTTCCTAGGAATCTCTCTGAGGTTAAAGGGGAATGATCTGCTTCCCACACCAGCCACAATCTTCCTTCCTCCCTTATCTGCTCAGTCTCTGCCCTCTCACCTGTGTAGATGCTAGACCTCTGAAGAGGCCTCTAGAAGTTCCGGGGGGCAGGGGAAGGTTTGCCATATGTTGCAGAGCCACTGTTATAAACAAACAAGGTGAAGCTTGCTCATTCCACAGGGCAGCGTGACTTGTTGTGATCTCATACCAGCATAAATCAGCACTAGATCCAAAGGGTTCGACCATTGTAAAACTGTTGAACATAAAATAAGAATCAGGCTTAATAACTTGCCAGTGCTGTTTACAATTATCGCATTGGCTTGTTTTCAGTATGCCTTCCCTGATGGAGTGTCCCTTATTTCCTCTCTGTTCACACACCCAATCCAATTGGTTAGGGTCAGACTGCAGATAAAGGAGAAATATCTGAAAGGTACACACTTCTAGGTGTGTGAGGGCACAGATTAGCTAACTTAATATACAAATCCTAGACCCCAACCATCTAATAAAATAAGTGGTTTTAAACAATCCAACCTTTACTTTCCCCCAAATCTTAAATATATGTTTAAACTCACTTAAAATAAGTCTACAAAGTTGATTAAATAGAAATAAAAAAAACCTGTATCTGACTGTTCAAAATGTATAGAAACATAGTGAAGTTTTCCTTTGAAGTACGAACAAGAATACTATAATATTATATGTATTTCATTAATTGACTCTCCAGAATTTCTCTGACCTTGCAACATTCTAGCTCACTTACGGATATAGTAGCAGAAGATCACAACCTGTAACACCTTCATGAAGTGCTATGTTTAAATGTGGTCACAATGGTTAATTTTCATAGTGGTCATTTCTTTCATTTGAGAAAAGGAAACAAATACAGGAAAGAACACAGAATAAGAGTGAAATCATATTGAGGTAAAAAATAATGAACAAACAAATAATAAAAAGTGATTGATGAAAACACTAAGTCAAATAACTGAGTGGGTGTAACAAAGCTCATCTTACACTGAGCACGTTATTTTGCCTCTTAATCTGGTGTCAATTATGGGTCAAGAGTACACAGAATCATAAGCAACCAAAAGCTGGTGTTTATAACAAACTCTTTTGCAATCTTAACAATAGCAGGTACTGCGACTGCTTCTATAAATTACATTCTAGTAATCTGATGAGGGAAAAAGCATTCCTTACATGCTGTACATTCTTTTTAAAATGAAATGCGTATTCACATGTATTCTCTTCCCCAAGGATTTATATCGGAAGACGTCTGACAACCACAACTACAACCAGCACCTTTTAAAGGAAGAATAAAATTTGGTCAGGCTCAAAGCAGTGAGAATATCCATCTGGGAACACAAATGGTGAATGGCAGGAACTTCTGAGCTTGTGATAGCTACAGGACCTTGCTGTTTGTTCTGTAAACATGTTCCTAATTTAGTAGTAGATGGGGGACAAGAAATACTGAAGCCAAGCTATCATGTATAATGTTTTAGATCAATTTATAAAGCATGTTTCAGATTAATATCTGCTGTAATGCTTGGTAGTGAAATATCATTGAAAATTTAAAAGACCCTCAGTGTTAATAAACAAACTCTTAGCTTTCTTGTACTGTTGTGATGCAGCTAGGAATTCATCTAAACCATTATTTCTTTATATTTCTGAAAAAGTGAATATTGTCATTATTAAGATGTGGCCTTATATATGCTATTAGAGAATCCTGTGACTTGATTTCAGGTGACTCATTTTCTTAAGGTTTTGATTAGCTCTTCTGCATAGGGGAGACACCAAATGTTAAGACACTCTCTAGATGCTCAGCTGGTACATACAGTGTAGCTTCAGTGGAACTATGTTAACTTACAGCAGCTCAGAATTTGGTCTACAAGAGCCTCAATTAAAATTTGGGCCTCAGTGCCGAACAAATTATTTCCTTTTGCAGTGCTCTTTATTGTTTGTCATTTAAAATTCCTCTTGTTCTATATTCTTGCAAAATATGGCTTTAAAACAAAGTATTTTTTGATTTGATGACAGAAAAAGTGCATTTCCATCCTAAATTGGCCTACTTATTTCCCTTATAAATGTTAAGGAACAGCATACTTGCTTATTTAGGTATACTAATGGAACTCATTTTGATTCAGGAATTTAATCTTACTGTAATAAGGAAAAAGGAGATTGATTTTTTTGTGTGCCAAATTCATAGGTCTTATGTATTTTTTAATAAAAACTTGTGGATTCACAGTTGTTTCCCCTTTTTAAAAAATATTTCAAACCAATTTCTGAAAGCTGTTTAAAAGGCAAGTGCTCTCTTTTGGACCATTTCACTGGGTTTATTTTTTTCATACCTAATTCATCTGTGTTATCACAAATAGCAAAGAAAGGTTTACTTAACATGATTTCATGATTCATCCTTAGATATGAGTAACTCTGAACTACTAACTGATTAAAAGAAATTCCCAAGTGGAAATAATTGAAAGGCATGGTCTTTCATTATACACACACACACAGGATCTGCACATACAGATTTGACTTTGCTTTGTTTGTGATAACATCATTGTTTAGAAATAAAATTTACTTTGAGTATTGCCAAATGATAAGGAGAAAATCAAACAGACTTATCTTTTGTTCTTGGAATGGAACTGAAATTAACATAGCTGTTTACAACAGCTCCATGACTGTATACAGTGGGCACCTGTGCTACCTCACTATATTTATGCCCCATCACCAAAAATGTCATCACAGTTATAGGGATAGTTTGCTGCTGCAAAGGCACGAAGTGGCACTCATCACCTAGCCCCTGATCTTGCAGACAGTTACACATGTTTATCTTTACACATGAGTAGTCCTTTGGGGATCAGTGAGACTCTACATGTGTATGAATTTAAGTACATGTAGGATCAAGACCTGTTTTTTGTTTTTTTACATTTTTCTTAAGGTTTCAACTGTGGATTTCTAGGATTTCTTTATTTTCTGAATAATCTTTCCCATCAAATTGTAAAGCATTTGAAAATAGATTTTGTTTGAAGCCTAAAACTCCTTACACAGTTTCACTCATTATAGCCCCAGATGAGCTTTGTGTGGGCTGATGCCTGCACCCATGCAGAGTTCACTCCATGATTAGGAGCCAAAGTTTACTGACAGTTTTTATTCAACATCTCCTCTCCCCCCCACACCCCCGACAAATATTATAGACATTATCTAGATGTTTGAGTGGCTGTCAGAGCAAGTGTACAAGAAAAATAAATACATTTTAGTGTAAAGACTTAACACCAATTATTTTTTGTAATTTTTAAGAACAGAAGTGAGCACCAGTAGGGTTTGTTTTAATTATTAGTAGTAAATATCAAATAAGTTTATATTCTTCAAACCTGCAGGGTTAGCTTTTTTCCCCCTAAAATCAGTGTGTGTGCATGTGTATCACATTTTTATGTAACAAGCCTGTAGTACTGCCCTTTTTCCATTGTGTTAGATTGATATTTCTTGTTGCATTGGAAGTTCCATGTTTTTAAATATATCCTGGTATAATTAGCGATATTTTAAAGAAGTTTAACAGAAGCTGTGAAATGCATTTGAGAGAGACTTCCTGGTATCATTGAAGTAATATTCAGTTAAACATTACCAGAGTAGATTGTGACATGACTTGTAAGAAAAATACTAACCATTAATAAAAGGAAGGAAATATGTTTTGCTTCATTTTCTTATATTAACAGAAGTAAAGAAATCTAACCCAGGGAAACAGTTACTAGTGGGGTTCCCTGCTTTTGGGAAGGATGCTGGGGTATGTAGTTCTGTGGACACTGACTTAAGAGTTGATTAAGTGTGGTTTAAAACCTTTATAGCCCAAGTGTGTCACCCTGTTGAGTCCAAGCTGTAAAGCTTTAAGGCTGCATCAGAATCTGTGCCACAATGCTGTTTGCATCCTACAAGACTCTAAAACCTATTCAGCTACATTTACTGCACCACCATTTTCTTTTCTATTGTTCCATTTCCAGTATAAAATTCTCAAAATAATTTGAGTTGCAAAATACCTCTCATTTAGATCATCCCTTATGAAAGGATTAATATCTTTGCTCCTAACTGAGTCCTTATACATAGGTGACAAATAATAAGTTAACAAACAATAGCTTTTTCATCAGTCGAAATAAAAATCACTTTTCAAGCAAATTTCACTTGGTACCTGCAATGTCAATTACATATGTTTTCTTAGTGGTTGTGAAAGGTGTCAGATATATTCATGCGTATCATATATTACTGTTTTGCACTAGCCCCAGTATGCTCCCTATCAGGATCAGGACCTTGTTGAGCTAGGCTCTGTAAAGGCTTACAGTGTTGGGCCCTGATGTAGAGTGGAGCTCCTGCTGGGTGCATCAGAGCTTCACTGATTGCGGTGGGGGCTCCTAGCAGATGCAAGGGTCCGATCTTTACGGAGCTCCTTGCAGGACTGGGGCCTAAACTGAAGCATGATGCTACAAATGTGCGTTGCCAAACACTGCAAGTAAGAGGTAACAGTAAGATCTCCTAATTACATTGGCCAGCTATCTGCAAAACTCGATGGTTCCAAATCAACACTGGGAGCTTTTTGATTTTGTATACCTAATATCAGCTATTCCCAACATCACTGAACTTAAGCATTTGAGTTCAATAAATGTACAGTGCCATGGCTAACAGACAGTTGCAAGGAAAGCACATTTGTCAAAGGTTCAACACTTCTCTCCTTTCAGTGAAAGGCTGAGCATGCTCTCAATCTAGATCAGTGCCACCATCCTCCGTGAAAAGGTCCAGCAAAACAAGTCTCTCTCTACATGCAAACTGAACTGAAACAACTAAAGGCATGAATTAAAACCAATTGTCATTTTGGTTCTAGCTTGTGTGCAGACAAGCCCTAAGTCAAAAATAAAGCAGAACTTTTTAATTTCAAAAAGAAATACAAAGTATATAAACTCATCTTCTCCCTCTTCAAGTCACCTCGAAAGGTCAGGTTCAATCCCTGAAGAGCAATACAGAATAGTAGTCAGGCAGTCCATTCTGATACTTTCAGAAAGAACAAGTGATTCAAAGGCAGCATGTAGCTTTCCGATTCCATTTCTCAGATAAACTTGATGCATCCCAACAGTGCTGTGCGTGGGTAATACAACTCACTGGGAAAACTCAAACGCCAGTATGGCTCCTGTTCTAGCACTACTGCTTCTGGCATACAAAGAAAGGTGACTGATTCCCATGGGAGTTGCAGGTACTCAACACCTTTCTGCCTCAGCTCAGAGCCCCATTTACCTCAACGTGAGTCCAACCACATGGAGCATTTTGCAGAGTTGGGGCCTAACTTTGGTGAGATCTAGTACAATGTAGAATATTTTTCTCAAAGAAAAGTCATGGAAATGCCATGGCTTGCGGCTTGTCAAACTACATTGAGCAAGGCATGAGAATACACTCTGTGGGAACAATCCTGTGCCAGCAGAAGAGTAGGATATAAATAATTTGCATCCCCAATTAATATTAAAAGAAAGTTGTACTCTCTATGTGCCAAGACTAGTGGGTTCATTAAAATAAAGTTTCACCACAGAGAAGAGGTCCAAATATACCTAACTAATAAGCCAACAGAAAAAAAGGGCCAAACTGCATAATTAAACTTAAATACACTTTTATTTGTAGCTAATCCAGGAGACCAGGCAAGCAATTCAACCATCTTTGGCAAGGAGTAAAAACCGTGATAATGTAGGGGGTGTGTAGGGGCATGCAGGATAGGTGCACAGGAGCGCGTGAGGGCTGGTAGGGGGTGTGTAGGGACGGGCAGGATAGGTGCATAAGGGCGTGTGAGGGCTGGTAGGGGATGTGTAGAGGGTGGGCAGGATAGGTGCATAGGGACTGGTAAGGGGTTTGTAGGGGGCAGGATAGGTCAAAATCATTGGAGATCCTTAAATTACTTATTACTTTAAGTATCAAATGAGAGATGTTACTACTTCAATTTTCCCCCAGTTCCAGGATCCTCACTCAATAAACTTGTGTTCACTGTTCTGACATGCTATACACATCATGAAAAGTATTCCAAAGAAAAAACATTACTCATTTTACAAAAAGTGACCTTGGAGGTCATTTTAAAAAAACATCTTACAGGCAACTTCTATTAGACAAGTGATTGTAGGACCAAGATTTCAGGCTCACTCCAGACTCTAAATTTGTAGTCGAATCAGAGAGTTAAGTTTGCCAGCTGCACAAAGAGCCTTCTGAAGTCTGCACTACAGCCACAAAATTTCTGCTAGATAAAATCCTTAGTTGGCAGAAGATCAGAGATTGTAGTGAGGTCATTCATATTGCACCTGATATATGCTGCATTAATGAAAAATGAGGATCAACTTGACCAACTAAAGATTCACTAGACACAGAAAAAAAATTATAACCCTCTGACCTTTTCACATGGTTGAAAAAAGGCAAAAAATTGATGGATAAATGTAACCATATTATCACAGCAGTATTAATCTAGCACTATTATTACTATATTGAACATTTAACAATATAGTATTATATGGTGTATATATATATATATATTACTGTATAAAGTACTAGACTAGCTCTATCTTGTGGTCAAATTATTAATTGCTTTTTGTACATGCAGTTCCTACATGGATTTCTTGCTTCAACTACCAGTTCATTTATACAAGCCTAGAGAGCTCAGAATACACTACAAATACACAAGTATAACTAGTGGACAGCTAGTGTATATATTATGGGTACAGAACTCATTACATCCTGGGACTTAAAAAATAAACAAAAAAAATGGTTACTTACCTTACAATATAACTTATAGTACACTAAGTTAGGAGCAATAAATCATCACAAGTCATACCCAGGATCTGACCCAAAGAGAACCCAGAGATTTCTCATTCCAGGCAAAAATCATAGCTCTAGTTAATAAGCCCACTTGCTTGTCACCTAGCTGGTTTTCCTTATCAAGTACAGGACAAGTTTTTGGTTTGAATGGCTACAGTTGAGTCTCAAAATTTCTGTGTAGTGTATCCTTGATCTATTTTCTATAGGGTCTTTTGGAAAGAAGTCCTCTGCTGAAGTTGTGACTTGTCTCTTTCACTGGTGAGGCAACTGCTTTACCCACATTGGGTTGCTGTTTACAGGCGGGAGATAGCACACTGCTCATCCTGGTCTGGGGACCCACTCAGCCAAGAAGGGGTATGGTACAAATATCTTGACTGTGAGGAATAGCCTGCGTGATGGCCCCAGGAGCCTGGAAGGACGCCTGTCTGCTCCCCCGGATCCTCGCTACTGTAGGGGACACCTCTCTGGGCCTTACCCATTAAAAACAGGATTGATGAAAGGAGAAAGGGATTTTTCACTTACCTCCCTGTAAGTGATGGTGCAGCCGTGTGAGTCTGTGACCGTCTGGTCACAGACTGCATGAAGTGCTACTAACGCTTAAGTGTGGAGACATCCAGTGAAGAGGGAGAAGGGCAAAGAGAGACTCCCCTTCCTACTGGTCAGACTCAGAGCTCCTTTTCCTGGCAAAGTGAGGGGGCCACAGGCTGAAAACCAGACCAGCATAAATCTCATTACACTGCAGCCTGTGGCAGAGCTTCACAGAAGTGGCAGGCTTCTCTGCAGGCCCAGACATGCTGCAGGGTGAGGGAAAGGTAGTGAGACTGTCCCTGAATACGGATAGCCTCTGTGAAGAGAAATGCCCCAGCAAAGAGTCTCTCAAGGGAGAAGACAAAGAAGGGGTTTAAACCAATTTTTACAGCATGTGCTCATTAACAATACGAACTATGGCCTTTGGAAGGGGGTTTGTTTGCATTTGCAAGACTTACCCATGAGCCAGCTGTGAAGGATTCCCCTCTCCATGGGAACCCTCTGGTTCTTGGTTAACTCTCCCATGGAAGTCAGCTTCAGGTGGAATTGAGGCCTAAACACCTGTCCAACTCAAAGCCCCATTCCCCAGCAGAGTGAGGGTCAGCAGCTTGTGGCAGCAGGGCATAGCTTGCTATCTCAAGCCCAGGCCTTGGCAAAGTGAGGGTGGATGGCTTGTGGCAACAGGACACAGCTCGGCTTCTGATGCTCCTGAAAAGCTGTCTATAGCACCTCTTGGACTTAGCTCAATGCTTCTAGAGCTTCCTTTCTGCAGTGGTGGAAGGCAAAGGGAGCCCACTTAATAGGTGCTGTACCAGAGAAGCCAGATAGTTAGAGCATCAATATTCTGGTAAGTCCTAACCTCAGGAGAGGGAGAGAAGTTGTCAGATGAGATTTTTTTTTATTCATTTTCATGGAATATTAATTTAAGTTATAAAATAAAAACAGTCTGGAAAAACTGAACTGCTTGACACAGAAAATCTGGTGACCTGAACTGAGTCCTGGAGCATCCAGCAATGCTGGACCACATCCAAATTCCACAGGTGGGAGGTATTCCTTATTAGTGATGGATGGAGAGAGAAGCTAGGCAACAGAAAATTGACATTTTAACTTTTCACTTTTATAGAAAATGCTAAGAGGAAGTCAAGAAATGACACGGTCTAGCAGAAAAAAAGTTAGGCACATCTCATACAGTTTGAATTATGGATATCTTCATGGAGAAGTACAGAAACGCCACATAATTGCATCATGTATAATTTGTATTTAAATATGTTATTTAAATTAATCCATGGAATTAAATATTTGAGAATTCCACAGTCAATACCATGAAA